GGGCCCCTCATGGAGCTCGGCAGTGGAGCTGCAAGGCCAGCGGCCGGGACCGTTGGGGGCGGGGTGTGTGGCCTTATGACACACTTCCGGTGATGTCAGGGGGTGTGGCCTTATGACACACTTCCGGTGATGTCAGGGGGTGTGGCATATGCTAATGAGTTATGCTAATGAGTTCCCCTAGCTCTTTTTCTACGAAATGACCCCTGATCCCAATATTCACTCGAATAGTTGTTCTGAACTTTTCATCCGCTGTGTCGAAAAGCTGTATCCTTCCCTTGACCTCTGCCCTCAAATTGTTCCTCAGAGGATAAAGTTTCTCGTTTTCCCTTGTTTAATGCACCTCGCATTAATGTCATGTGTGTCGTGTTCCTGTTGATCCTCCCTGAGGGAATCTTTCTGTCCTTGCAGGATGTGAAGTGCAGCGGGAACTGGATGTGGGCGGCCAAGCTCCCGGGAGAGGGGGCGGCCTTGGCCGAGGCCTGCCGGGCCATGTGCGCTGTGATGGGGGATTTGGGCGTGGCTGTGGATGGAGGCAAGGACTCGCTCAGCATGGCGGCCCGGGTTGGCACGGAAACCGTCAAGGCTCCTGGTAAGAAGGGGGCGGGGTTGTCCTGGGGGGTCTCCCTATGGTTCCCATTTGCCCTCTTATGGCGGGAAATCTCCAGGTGATTGTGGCCTTTGCCTGCTGATGCTCACTTGATTGGTTGGTGGAAACAGGGCTAGAAATGGCGGGCGCAACCGTCCCGGGGAGAAGAATTAAAAAGAAAAAGAAAACCTCGTCTACTTCAGGAAGTTCTGACCATAGAGTTCCTGACAATTCCTAGAGCCACCCAGAAGTGACAAGGGTAGCTCTAGGAATCGTCAGAACTTCCTGTAAGTAGATGAGGCCTTATTTTTTGTTTCGATTGGTCTCCCAGTGTGCTGCTCCCCTGCCCACAACCCTACTGTGGTTGCTAGGCACTGCTTGGTGACCCTAAGGATACCCCGAAGTTGCTCTCCTCAAGTGGGAGCAAGGCTGTTTGTCTGAGGCTTATTCAGGCACTATTTTTTAAAAAATTATATTCTCATTTCTAGTCCATTCATTTCTGTTTGGAGGTTGCAGTTTTACAACAATCTTTGTGACCACTTTGAGTTAACAGGGATATCAGCCTGAAACATTCGTTTATACCCCACTTTTCTGCAAGTGGGGGACCCAAAGCACCTTATAACAATCTCCCCATTTCCATTGCATCTGCCCAACAACCCTATGAGGTAGGTGAGGCTGAGAATGTATGACTGGCCCAAGCTCACCCAGCAAGTGTCCACAGCAGAGTGGAACCTGGGTCTCCCATATCTTCGGCCAGCACTCTATCTCCAACACCACGCTGGCTCTTTTAAAGTAAATACGTTGTAATCAGTATCCATATGAAATGAGAAATAGACCCCGGGGTGTGTGGGGATCAGAGACTTACAAATCTCAGAGTCAGGGCCTTTTTTGTAGAAAAAGCCCAGCAGGAACTCATTAGCATAATAGGCCACACCCAACAGCAGGAACTCATTAGCCTATTAGGCCACACCCATGCCTTCCCTTGGCTTGCCTGGGCGCCCTGCGGCTGCAGGAAGCCCGGGCAAGCTGGCCCTTGGGCAGACCAGGGGAGGCATTTAAATGCCTCCCTGATCCTTCCAGGGGCCCCCTGGCCCGCCCGCCTTGGAGTCACCAGAGGGGGGGTCGCTCTTCTGGCTTTGGCTGTAGTGGGCGTGGCCAACTCTGAAGCCAGCCGGAACTCCGTCCCTGTGCGTTCCTGCCCAAAAATAGCCCTGCTCAGAGCAATGATTAAGAGTACTGAAAGCACTTTGGGAAAACAATGAAGATTTGGGTTCTGGTTTTGTAGCGTCTCCAGGGAAATGGATTCCCCAGTCTTGTCTTCCCCATTCATTGGCCAAAAAACCCGAAGATCCTGACCAAACCACAGGGCTTCCAGCAATCCGGTGCGTTCATCTTGTTGCGTTCCACCAAACGTCCACAGACAATTTGTGCTTGGTTCCCGAGAAGGGGCAGATGAACACCTACTAGGTCAATGACACAGTTTAATTCCATGCGTGTTGTGTTGTGTGCCGTCAAGTCACCTCCAAAATGCCCTCTCTAACAGCCTGGTCAGGTCTTGCAGACTGAGTCAATCCATCTCATGTTGGGTCTTCCTCTTTTCCTGCTGCCTAAAGCTTTTCCTAGCATGATTGTCCTTTCCGTGAAACCCCCCTCTGCAGTCCTCGTGTACTCTCTCCCCACAGGGACCTTGGTTATCTCCGCTTATGCTGTCTGCCCAGATATCAGATCCACCGTCACCCCTGATCTTAAATGTCCAGAAGGCAAAGGTAAGGCTGGGAGCATAATCAAACGTTTTGTTCCATTTGTGTGTTCTAAGACAAGCCAAATAACACACACACACACACACAAAACCTTTTCTGGCATTGAAAGCACAAAACATCATGGAAATACGGCAAAATACTAAGATGCATCAGTCACTTACACTTGGCTGTTTAAGCCTCGTCTTCTGATGGCATAAGATAATAATAATAATAATCTTTCCCACGTAACTGCGGGCTCAGAGCGATTTACAGTTACTCTTGAGACAGTTGGACTAACAATATTTGAGGGAATAGGGAAGACAAACATGCAGCATTAATTACACACACATTGCAGCTAGCCGGGCTTCATCTGCGCACTGGGTCAGTCGTGTTCCTACGGCATCTTGTCTGCTGGCTGATGACGTCTGGCTTCTTGATGTTGTGCAGCCACACACTGCCACTGCCTGGCCGACTCGCTACACTGCAGGGAAGCCGACACAGTTCTTTCGTCTTTCCGGCCGCCGCGCCTCAGAAGTTGCCTTGGCAGCAAACACCTTCCCGAAGGGAGGGGTGTGCCCCCACCCCCTTACGGGTGGTCCCCAAGTTATCTACTCGCCAAAGCTTTCGAATCGCTGGGTAGACGATGAGCTAGGACAAGGCTTGGTTGCTCACACCAGCACGGGGCTAGAACTGCCAAAGCATGGCAGCTCAGATGTACTGAGGCAGGGGAAAATTTTGCAACAGCCTCCATTATTTCACAATTAGAATTAAAACAGAAGAAAGTGAACGATTGGCTAGAGGCTCTTACCCTCTAGAAATGGAGTAATAAAACGGGATCGAATGTCCCTATAAAGGGGGCAATGAAGTATGGTGTGTGTAGTGGATTCTAGATCTTTTCGATAACACGGACAAAGTCTGTCTACATATGGTATCTGGCGGTACCTCCCTAAAAGCACCTCCGATGGCAGAACATTAAAGCGTGCAGGCATGTATGCTCTGCGAGGATGTGGGGCTATTAAACAGATCTTTTGCAGTAGAGCCCGTGTCAAAAGACCCCAGCCTACTTGGGGAGCATCTGCTAGCTGCTGCACATTCCGGAAGTTCTTGCCTTTCGATGTCGAGAAATCTTTGTTTAATGATAGCATAACAAGCCAAATTAAATGTAAAAGAGTTTGCCAAAAGCATTCTATATTGTACCCCCGCTTCTCCTTGCTTGAAAGTCTTCTAAAGGGGGAAGTTTCCTTTTGTGGTTATATTGAAGTTTAAATTGATGTTTGTTTCTGGTCCTACAAAAGGCCCATTAAGCAGCTGACATTCATAGAACATACAGAACACTTTAACTTATAAAAAAGGTTTTTGCAGTGTATATATTTGTTGTTTGACCCATCTGGAGGTCGGCAACTCTAGAACTGTTCCCTAACTTTCTGCCACATTCTGAAAGACACCTGTGGCAGCTAACTGGGTGTAGTTGTAACCAGTATTCCCTCTAAGCTGTGGAGTCTTGTGAGCAAAAATTCTACTTCATGGGCTACTGGCATGAAAGTTGTGAGTGAGCCATTTGGCTGCTGCATAAATTAGTTTGCTCGGGAGCCCTCCTTCCTGAGCTAGGACAAAAATGTATGCGCTGGAGGCTAAAAAACTGTGAGTTAGCTCACACTAACTCAGCTTAGAGGGACACACTGGTTGTAACGCAAAGGAGCAAATATTACTGAGGTTGGGGAGAGAGTTGCCTTCTCCTCCGTGTTGATGTTATACCCTCCCTTCTCCTCCTAGGGACCCTGCTTCACGTGGCGGTCAACCCAGATAGGCATCGTCTGGGGGGCAGCGCGCTGGCCCAGTGCTTCTCTCAGTTGGGGGATGTCTCCCCAGACCTGGATAGTCCCAGTACTCTTGTTTCATGCTTCCAAGTCACCCAAGAGCTGCTGAAAGGTAAGCACAAGCAGAGCAGGGACGAGGCCACTCCAGGCTCTCTCTTCCTTCGCCCTCTCTCGGGCCTAGAGAGATTGGCAGTGGGCCCTCCCAGACCCCAGGGGCTCAGCGGAAGAGCCTCTGCTTGGCACGCAGAAGGTCCCCGGTTCGGTCCCCGGCATCTCCAGCTACAAGGACCCGGCGGTAGGCTGATGTGAACGAGCTCTGCCTGAGACCCCAGAGAGGCGCTGCCAGTCTGAGTAAGACAGGGCAGATGTGGACATATCAAGGGTCTGATTTAGTATAAAGCAGCTTCATGTGCTCATGTATTCCAGTGGCCTGGGTTTTTGCCAATACAGCGTTTTTTTCTCCCCCTCTCCCCAGATGGATTGATTTCTGCCGGGCATGACGTGAGCGACGGGGGACTCCTGACTTGTTTGCTGGAGATGGCTTTTGCAGGGAATTGTGGCGCCCACATAGAGCTGGGCGCCCCCGGAGCTAACGGTTAGTGAGCCAGTGGGAAAACGAGTGATGTTAAGGACATCAGAAGAGCCCTGCTGGATCAGACCAGTGGTCCATCTGCTCCAGCATCCTGAATCACACAGTTCCCCTGGATGGCCAACAACAGGCTGAGGCCTTCCCCTGACGTTGCCTCCCGGCTCTGGGATTCAGAGGTTTAGTTCCTCTGAATGTGGAGGTTCCCTTTAGTCACCATGGCTGGTAGCCATTGATAGACTTATCCTCCATGAATCTATCTCATCCCCCTTTACACGTATCCATTCCTGTGGCCATCACGACATCCTCTGGCAGCAAATCCCACATTTTTTAAATCACCGTATAAAGTAGTATTTCCTTTTGCCCATCCTGAACCCACTGCCCACCAGCTTCATTAGATGCATGGTTGGGTATGTCTGGAAAGGGCTGCATTTCCCGAAAAAGGGACATGAGGAAGGGGGTCAGGGAGAGCACCAGGGGCCTCTAGTTCTGCCGCAGAAAAGAGGCCAATGCTGAAGCACCATGGAAACATCTACACGTTGGCCTTGGAGTGCTCCAGTGTTAGAGGGGCACGTGGCCTGTCCGAGGGAGGTTTCCCTGCCCAGAATTGGGAGGATGTCTAAGGGTGGTGGAGGTTAGTTTCAGAGGGGAGCCGTGTTGGTCTGCAGTAAAAAGGTAAAGGTAAAGGTTCCCTTGCTCGAAAGCCAGTCGAGTCTGACTCTAGGGCTGCGTTTCCGAGCCGAAGAGCCAGCGCTGTCCGAAGACGCTTCCGTGGTCATGTGGCCGGCATGACTGAACACCAAGGCGCACGGAACGCTGTTACCTTCCCACCGAAGTGGTCCCTATTTCTCTACTTGCAATTTCTTGCTTTCGACCTGCTAGGTTGGCAGGAGCTGGGACCAGAAACGGGAGCTCACTCCGTCATGTGGCACACGCGGGTCTCGAACTGCTGAACTACCGACCTTCCACAGCCTGCAGCTCAGCATCTTAACCACTTGAGCCACCGCAGCTCCATTACTGGTCTGCAGTAGAGCAGCCATATTTGAGTCCCGGAGCACCTTCGAGACCAGCAAGACTTTCCCAAGTATAAGCTTTCAAGAGTCAAGGTTCAGTTCTTCAGATCTGACCAAGGGAGCTTCGACTCCCAAAACCTTATACCCGGAAAGCCTTGGTGGTCTCGAAGAGGCTCCTAGACGCGAGTCTGGCAGTGGAGGAGCACGTCCCACTTCTCCGGCCTGCCTTCTTTCTCATCATCTCTCTCCCGTTTTCCCCCTAGCCCTGGAGGTGCTGTTTGCGGAGGAACCCGGCCTGGTGCTCGAGGTGTCCCGTGCAGCGGCAGCCGATGCCTGCCGACGGTACCGGGAAGCCGGCGTGCGGTGTGTGCCCGTTGGGCATTCGAGTTCCCGGGGAGCCAGTGCCATGGTGAGTACAGGCGAGTGGCTGCAGAACAACAGCAACAAAAAGAGGTGAACGTTGGTAAAAGGAGTGGAGTCGGGAAAGGGACATTGGCAGAGATGGGGAGAGCGGGAAATAAGGCCTGTCGGAGGAGTGGGGAGGGAGCCTTTGGCTAGAATCTTGGCCAGCCCCTGGGGAGATGGTGCAGTCATATGGTTGCACGGAAGGCCCCCTGCGCCGAGCCACAGAACTGACGTGTTCCGTGGCTCGTTTTCTGTTTCCTTTCCCCGTCTTGGTTCTGTCTTCAGAGGGTAGCACTAGAACCGCTCGATTAGCATCCGGTAGCATCCTGGGGACCGAGGAGATGTGTGGGGTACGGGCGTTCAAGAGTCAGAGCTCCCTTCGTCAGAAGTTCTATCTGTTATTTATTTCTGCTGATGTAACTTATCGTCCAACTTTCTTAATGAGACTCGGGACAGATTAAGAGGTAGAAGTCTGCCGTCAAGTTGCAGGTGGCTCATGGAGACCCTTTAGAGTATTGTGAAAGTCAAAGGTGTTTTTTAGTAATATGGTGCCTAATGCATGCTGCTAAGTATAAGCCTAGATGTTCAAGCTTACATGAGAAAATTCCAGTGCACAGAGGTTGTGTTAGTCGATGAGTAAGACGCTATGCTGATGTTTTAAAATCTACCCTTTTATTCCCTCTTGTAACCTACTGAAATTATATTCTTTGGCTTACTTCTTATTTAAATACAATAATATCTCTCCCTTATTATAAAAGAGTAGTCGGTGCCAGAATTCTAAAATTGGCCCCTTTAGTGTTAGGCCGAAAAAACTGCCACTCGGAAGACACTGGCTGGGTTCATTGGCTGCTTTGTGCAGTCCCGGCCAGCGTTCCAAGGTCATTTACATATGGAAGCTGATTGGACTACACTCCATTCCACACCTCAAACTCACCCCCCCACAAGGCAGTTGGAATTTTCAGTTGGGAGAGGAGAATGATGTCAGCTGCTCCCTAGGCAGAGGCTGTGTGTGTGTGTGTGGGGGGGGTTGTAAAGACAGACAGGCAGATAAACGTTGGCTGATGGTTGCCAACTCCAGGTTCGAACTCCAGGACATAGGGTTGCCAACTCCAGGTTGGAAACTTCCAGGATATTTTAGGGATGAAGCCTACTGAGGGTGGGATCTGAGGAGGAGGAGGAAGAGGGGGACCTCAGACAGATACAATGCCATGCTGCCCACACTCCAGACAAGCTGTTGCCAGTCTCCAGGAGACAGCTGGAGAGATCTTAAAGCTTTGGTGCTACTTCAAAGTTCCCCAGGAGCCCAAAACAGAGTAGTGTTTTGGAAAATCTTGAGGAATTGTTTGGTGCATTTACGATGGGGCTCCTGGGGAACTATTGTTGCCAATCTTGGCCCAGCAGCCATCAAACCATTCTCTTCAACCCCCTGCTGTGCAACTGACTTTCCCCTAGGGTTGCCAATCTCCAGGTGGGACCTGGAGATCTCCCACTGCTACAATTGATCTCCAGATGACAGAGATCAGTTCCCCTAGAG